CTTGAAAGAAAAGCAAAAGGTTTGAGGCTTCCTTCCTATAAGGATGCTCTGTTGTACTCAGTAACAAAAAGACAAAGGTAAACTGGCAAAGGATGCAACTGGACAAACGTCCAGTAAACACACAGAAAAGGGCTCACTCTACTGGAAAGTAAATAAATACAAATTAGAATGCTGGGCTCCATCAGCTAGAGTTATAGCATGACAAGGAAGGGCTATCAAGAGAAAGACAAAGAAGACAGTGCCGTACACATTCAGGTGAGAGTATAAATATACAAAGATGTATGTAAAACATCATCAATGCATTGTTGTTGTTAAATGCTGTCACTTTAGTTCTGACTCCTAGCAACCCTGTATAGGGTTTCTGAAGAGCAGCTAGTGAGTTTGAATCACAACCTTGCAGTCCAGTGCTTATCCTACAACGCCACACCAGGACTGGTAGAATAATTATTTCCCTTTTTTTTTTTTTTGCTGTTCAGCATATAATCATTTTAGTGGCCACACAGTGTTCAATTGCTTGGCCCTACAAAACTATAGCCAATCCCCTACTGTTGCCAGGCTGGGCTTGCTTTGGTTTTGTTTTTACTACAAATAATGTAATGGTGGAGTCCTGGGATGGCACTGTAGACTAAGCCCTGGACTGCAAGGTTGGTTTGAACCACAAGGTCAGTGGCTCAAACTCATCAGTTACTCCTCAGAAAGCCAGTACATGCCCTCTATGAGTTGGAACCAACTTGATGGCACTTAACAACACAATACCAGGACTCCTGCTGTGGCGCTGTGGGTTAATGCGCTGGATCGCAAGATCAGTTTGAACTGCAAGGTCAGCAGTTCAAGCTCATCACCTGCTCCTCAAAAACCCTATAAAGGGTCACTGTGAGTCACAAAAAACTGACAGGAGGGCTCTTAAGAACACCACCACAACATATAGGAACCCTAGTGGAACACTGGACTAAGCTTTGGGCTGCTAAACACAAGGTCGGTGGTTCAAACCTACCAGCTGCTCCCAGGGAGGGAGATAAGCTGTCTGCTGCAGTTAAGGTCACAGTCCTGGAAACCCTTCCCCAAGGCCCCCTGAACCTGACCTCACGGAGACACTGCCCCCCACCCCCATCCCACCTTTCCAGTTTTGGGAAATGTGCTGAGAAGTATGATCACTGCTCTAATATCCTGTCCCTGTTCTTTCAAGAGCTGCCAATACCAGACCGGGTTCCAGGCTATGAAGGTAGTCATGCCCTCATTTGGGCATGCCCGATCCGAGCCCAAGCACCCTTGTGGCACAGTGATTAAGTGACTGAGAACTGAAGTCAGTGGTTCGAGCCAATCAGCTGTTCTAGGAGAAGACGTGGCAGCCCGCTTCAGCAGAATGGCAGCCTTGTACACCACTGGGCACTTCCAGTCCATCCTACAGTGTCACTAGAACTCAAAACGAATTCAACAGCAGTGTGGCTAAAGGGTTTTTTGAGGGACTAGGGAGATGGTGACTGTGAGCCACTGGGTCAGTTCTGACTCACAGCTAGCCTGGATAGGGTTTTCGAAGCTATAAACCTATATGGGAGGTGAAAGCCTCATCATTCTCCCATGAAGTGATTGGCAGATTCGAACTGCTGACCTTCTGGTTAGCAGCCCACCTCATAATTCACTAGGCTACCACGATAGCAATCTCCTGGTGTGGTGCTGTAGGATCGGCATTGGACTGTGAGCCACAAGGTCAGCAGCTGAAACCCGCCAGTTGCTCCTCAGAAACCCTACACAAGGTCACTGAGTCCGAACCGACTCAACGGCACTTGACAATAACAAACAGGATATCAGAGCCCTTTTCATGGTCAGATTTTCTTTCCCTGCTCAGCTCATACCTCATCTAAAACTCCAGCAAATAGAAGATTCAAAATGACAGGCAAAAACTTCGAATCACCAAGTTATCTTTAGCCCTAAATACTCAATGGTGGTTGTGTGCCACCAAGTCGGTTCTGACTCACAACAACCCTGTAAAGGGTTCCCAAGGCTGTAAATCTTTACGGAAGTAGAAAGCCTCCTCTTGCTCTTATGGAACTACTGACCTACGGTTAGCAGCCCTGCTCAGAATCCACTATGCTACCAGGGCTCCAAACACTCCAAGTTGTTAAGTGCTGTCAAATTGGTTATTACTCATGGCGACCCTGTACAGGGTTTCCGAGGTGCAGCTGGTGAGTTTGAACCACTGACCTTGCGATTTAAATGACCTTACAGTGCAGTGCTTACCCTACAGCACCACATGAGGACTCCATGGAGTCATTTATTATTGTTAAGTATTGTTGAACTGGTTCTGAATCATAGGTTCTGACTCATAGCAGCCCTGTATAGGGTTTCCAAGGAGCGGAACCACCAACCTTGCAGTTGAAACTGACCTTGAAGTCTAGTGCATTAACCCGCAGAGCTACAACAGGGCTTTGAATACTCAACACTCATCACATTTTTCTCCACATTGAAGATGTTTTTCTCTCTTCTGTGATCTTTTCTTTTGTTCTAACCATGTATGAAGGGGCTTCAAAAAGTTCACAGAAATGTGGAATTAAAAGGTAATAGAATTTTTCCACAGATGTTTTGAAGCCCACTCATTTTGCACGCTTTGCTAGGCTCTGGCATACACATTACAAGGTCCCTATTTCTGAAAACAGTCCAGAGAATGGAGAACAGGGAGGATCTGTGGTTGGAAGGTCAGAGAGGCTGACAACATTCCAGTCCTTCGTTACTCCGCCTTCATTATGTAGTCTCAAACACTGCAAATTTCCAAAACAGTGACCATACCCCTAATTGACCAAGTACAAAAAACATGCTCCATGGCCAAATGAAAATGACCTTTGAATTATTGGCCTAATTTGGATATTTATGCCACTTCGCTTCTCTTTTGGCCTGGACAACTGAAATATATCCACTCTCAGGGGAGATGTCCACAGATGAGTCAGCCTTGGAGTGGGCACGATGCAGTGGAAAGGATGCTGGATCAGGAGGAGTCAGAGGTAAAGTTCTTGTTTTGCTCCTGCCATTAGGTCTCAATGATATCGCTGGGAAGTCACTTCGCCTCTCGTATTTCCTCATCGATGAGGTAGGAATTCAAACAGGCTCCATTCTCTCTCAAAAGGTGAATTGTGATTGTGAAACCACTGGAAATGTACCACATGTTACTCAAATACAAAGCTGGAGAGGACCAATCAGCAGGCAAGGTTGACCTACAATGTCGTCTGTTCACATTGAATCTGTGTTATATTGCTCGAGAGTTAAAATAAGATCTAGGAAGGCCTGATGATAACCAAGAGATGACAGATAGTCCCATGCAAAGGTTCAGGACCAGTGACCAGCACAGAATCCAAAAAGCATCATGCAAACAGAATAAATTTTTTTGGATCTAGCATTAAAAAAAAACCCTGCCTACACAGCTGACCCTCTAAGAAGGTTTATCTTGGGGAACGGAGTACTTTGGGGAGGTGAGTATAAAGGGTAGGAGGAGGCAAGGATTACTGCTATATACTTTCAATACACAGAGGAAGGCACACATGTCCAGTGGAAAAACCACTGAAATCTGCCAAACAGCTAGATTTAACTCCTGGCTCCCAAAACAACAAGTAAGCCCAAAGTGATGAGATGGTGAGAGGTTGAGTCTTGTTCCCAGATTCATAATACCAACAACCAAAAAAAAGATGCAAGAGGCCTTGTCCAATCCTGGGGTTAGTGAGAGTTGTGCATTACTGTGGCTCCTGAAATCTAATGGAAAGAGCAATACTAATTAAGGGGCTCGACATCTTGACATTAGAACCAAATACTTTAGGCTTTGATTCAGATTCAGTGCTACACAGCAAAAATCGGGAGTGCCTCAGTGTGTGGATCCAGGACACCCCACAAACCCACAAGTTCAGCATCCTCGAAGCCATGAGAATCACATAGTCCCCAGGGAGGGCAGGCTAGGAGTCTCTTACGGTCCTTTGACAGGAAGTAGGTTTCCTTCTTTTTCTAAATGTAGGCTAGCTATGAACTATTTGAGCTGCAAGTCATAGGGAAACCAGGTTTTGTACCTGTTACATCTCCAGAAGCTGAACACAATCAAGAATGAACATATCCAGCCAACTGCTTGCTGTCTCTCCACTAAGAACTGATTTAACACTGCTTTTCTCCAGAGGAACCGGGGATGGGCTGCCTATGGGTTTCCTGAGGCTCCCATCGACCCAGGGCTGAGGATCACAGCAATTTCAACAGTGACAAAGGACATAAGTGGAAAACCCTCCGGGACAGTGAATCAGAATTTCTGACGAAAACAGTTGACTCACATATTTAACCAAGAACTCGCAGGCATAGGGTGCCAACAGCTAGAGATTCTGCATATGATTAGAATGGAACAGTGTCTACAACCTTTCAGGTGATTTTTCATGTCACTATACGGTTAGAAAGGTTGGTGTTCACAGTCCACTCTAGAAGATGCTATTAAAATAAAAATAGCCTTCAAGAGAGAAAATCCATGTTCTAAGAAACAAAACATTTTATCTGGACAAAAGGAACATTCAACTCATGAAACATAAGAACAAAAACAAAAAACAAATTTCCTTGAATGTATTCCACTAGAAAGGCAGGGCATTTTCCTACACCAAACATTTTAACTTTCTCACTACGCCACAGAAACCCAATAAATAACATAACAGTGGAAGGGCCCAGGTCCACAGTGTGAGTGAAAACTGGAACACCAACGTGGAGGTATAACACAATTCACGCTCCCCTTTGCACGCACAGCGGCAGAGTCATCCAAGAATGGGAAGAGCACGGACAGCTCAGGCCTCAGTATGGTCTTTTCTGAGCGAGAAGGGCTGGAGTTCCGTCAGGGAAAGCCCAGGCACTGAGTGAAGCCACAGAGAACGCCATGAGAAGGGGTCGAAGCCTAGGTTTCCTCAGGTGCCTTGTCTTCCTCCAGGGCAGCAGAGTGAACACTGACGTCTGGCTTGAGGCTGGCAGTCTGCCAGCAGTGCCCTCCGCACCCATCACGCAGGGAAGAGCTCAGGAGGGCTCTCTCCATAGCAGTACTTGGCTACGGGATCCCTATAGGTGTTCTCGTGCTGCACACTCTGTTGGCAAAAAGGGAGATAAGGCGCATGAGAGAGAGTAGTTTCACAACCCCTCCCTCGCACAATGGAAAAGTTGAAACACAACTGCTATCGGGCATGCTCTGTAGGAGCCTGGCTGCATCCATCTCCAAATGTCACTGAAAGGCTCCAAGGCACTTTCTAGAGCACAGAGGAACGCTCACACAGACTGCCAGAGAAGAACATTAAAACGGAAATCATATCACGACTTGAACATTGCTTTTTACGTTCACCAGCAAGGTTTTTAACAACCTGGATGTAGCCTGGGCAGCTCGAGACAACTCATTTCTCTCACAGGATTATACATGAGATTAAAAGTCAATGGGTATTTTGTGCCTCAAAGTTCAGTTCTCAGTCCAGAACCCTACAGAGGAACTGAGGAAATGCACTTCAGGTTGTTTTCATTAAGTTTATGCACACGAGCCAAACCTACACCACCACTCCCTCAAGGCTCATTTGGCTCAACGGAAAGCAAGCGTGATGTAACGCAGACAATCAGCCCTGGTGGCTAGTTTTTGAGCAATTTGTTTTCATACCAGCAACTGGAGTTTTTGGCTACTCTAGAGTTCATTAATTAGCCCTAGACCAATGCTAAGAAAATCAACTGTAAGTATTTATCCAATTTAATGGACACACAGCCAAATCTTCTTTCTGGAACACTGTTCACACTACAAACTGAATGGCAATTGGGAAATCTCTGTACAATAAAAAGACTAAGTCAGAAAGCACAGTAGCTTCTCTGATGATTGAAACTAACTCCTCAGTTTTATCAGTTAAGGGAAAACAAAATCAAAATAATTCGCCTTTTCTACCATTTCTCAGAATAAGAGACTGAATCAGAATGAGTCATGTGTTCAGCCCTCTTTAACATTTCCTTTATAGCCCATTGAAGCAGAAAGCTCTTCAAGCAAAACAAGACTAAATTTCTTAATGTTTTCAAAATGCTTATTATAATCCCTGAAACATTTGCCGCATGACACTGAATGTGCTCAGAGAAAATCAGAAGTAGAAAAGAGGTGCAAAATTAAAAGGTGGCATTACAGAAATCTGACCAAGGTACAAGAGCGCTGGGGAACGATGCAGTTATCAGACGGAGCCCGAGCAGTTGTGGAAGCACCACGAATACAAGTCGGATGAGAGACGTGTGTGTGTGTGTAATAAACATGTCTGGTTTGGTAGCACAAAGAGCTACGACAAATGCCCAACCACAAAAGCAGACAGAGAACACAGTGTGATGGAAAGGCAAAAAGACTTTCAGATGTTTACAGCAACAAAGCCAATCCAGGATGCCCAAAGAGCAGAGCAGTTAATAACATGCCAGTAAGTACAGAGAACATGGCAGCCTGAAGATTTAAAACACCCACCTGCCCATCCCCTTGACGTCCTAAAATAAACCACAACTCGGCCCCAGAACAAATGACTACTTACCCTAAATAAGTGGTTGCTGCAAAGCCTTCGTTAAGCTTTAGGTGCCAGTGAGGTGAGAACTCTTGGGAGCTGCACCAACAGCACGCCACCCAGATCAGAAACAATCCTAAGCTTCCACTTACAGCGGAGACATGCAATTCAGACAGGAGAGATCCAAGCTGGTTAGACTTTGAATCTCACTCTGCTATTCTCCATTCTATTACTGCACCAAGCAAAACCTACCAAAGCTTGACATGGTTTCCACCTGAACCATGTCTCCTTATCAAATCACAAAAACGACTTAGTACACCTTTTCTCGGCCCCGACTCGTACCTGCCCACCCCTCAGAAAGGGAAATGGCAGCCTCTCACCTGGGATGAGGTTCTGCATTTAGCCAAGCACAATTCAAAGTGATCTTCGACTGCCATGAAGAGGTTCTGGAATGCCACCGCTGCCCGGTTGAGGAAGCGCTCCAGGAGAAGTTGCTATGGAAACAAAAGTTGGTACCTGGAATAAATTCCCAGTGAAGCCAGCACAGAGTAACCTTGTCTCTCTCTGATAACTAAGAGAATGTTGATACAGGAGACAGGGAACTGGGGATCTTATTCATCAGATAGCTCAATGGCAATACGATGGCCCGCTCTACTAAATGTTACTGCATACCATCTCCTTCACTTACAGACAAAGGCGGCGCCACTGCAGCAATTTCTGACATCTGCAAAGTCCCATCCCCAGTTCTGCTTTCAAAGAGTCTCACATAAAGAGTCTAATGCTAACCATACAGTGAAGACAGAGACCAAAAGAAGGTGTAAGATGAGAAGCTGACTCCACATACCTTGTTGGGCTGCAAGCAGCAAGACACACAGTACTCGTACGCGCTGCAGCAGCCATTGGACAAGCAGCCGTTGCAGCAATACTGCTTTGTGCCAGGGATGTTGATATTGCAGCAGCCATTCACCAGCAAGTCCTTCCTTTCACAAACATATCCTGAAAGTCAGAGACTAACCTTAGCATCAAACCAGCAGTCTGCCCCTGACCATACTCCGCCTTCTGATCATGAGAATAATAAAGAATGAAAAATAGAGGCAGCATCTGCCATCCACCAGGTCACTGTAACACCAAAGGGCCCAAATCAGACATAATGTGAATAGGGCTAACTTCCTACATGTGGTCATGGTGTTAAGTACTGTCGAGACGATTTCAACTCGCAGCAACCCTGTTCAGGGTTTCCGAGTAAACCTGGTGGCTGGTGGGTTTGAACTGCTGATCTTGTGGTTCCCAGTCCAGTGCTGATCCTACAGCATCCCACCAGGAGTCCCCTACATGTGGAAGCTTATAGGAAACATGGACTGCCATGTTGTAACCTGTTTACACACTACAATCTACCTGTTATGGATTGAATTGTGTCTCCCTTGGATTGTATGTGTCAACTTGGGCTGGCCATGACTCTCAGTATAATGCTCCTTCACTTTGTGATCTGATGTCATTATCCACGTTTATCTTAACCATGAGGCAGGATACCAACCTACAGGATTCAGTCCATTTTGAGATTAGGTCCATTGGTTTTCATTTTTGAGATAACAAAAATATTAAACAAGCAAGCAGAGAGCAGAGATGGAAGCAGAGTGTCCTCTCTGGACCCAGGGTTCCTGTGCTAAAACTCTCCTAGACCCAGGTGAAGCCTGATGCCAAGGCACATGGAGATCTCCAGGGAATACTAGGTTAAAAACTGCTGAAAGGAGACCAGAATCTTCCTCCAGAGTTGATAGAGACAGGAAACCTTCCCATAAAGCCAGCATCCTGAATTTAGACTGTAGCCTCCTAGCCTGTGAGCATGAACGTCATGTCTGTTACAACTATCCACCTGGGATATTTCTGTCCCAGCAACATTAGTGAACTCAGACACCCCCACCCCTCAGCCCCCAGGATTTCAATCAGCTGCCACACCTCAAACGCAGCTACACTTTACTATTCTAAGCTACGCAAGACTGAAGAAAAATGTCAGTCTTTTTCAAACAAAAATTTGAAAATTTAAAAAACCAAGGCGAGAGATTCTAGATTACACACACACACACTAAAGATAAATATAAAAAACCCTCAACTCTTTAGAAATAACTTTTGAATTCTTGCCATTTGTTTAGGAGCTTTAATTTTTATAAAAATAATTTTAAAGAGAAGGAGCCATTACCTGGCCTTTACAATGAAGGCTGTTTCTAAGTATAAATGGTAGGGCTCAGAGACCACTCAGCATTAGGGAATACAGAGTTTTGTAATATCCAAGGCAGAGAAACCTCGTAATTCCCTCCATTCTTCACAAATCCCATCATCTATATATATAGAAAGCTGGTGTAGCGATGCAGGGTAAACACTGAACTGCTAACAGAAAGGTCAGTGGTTCAAACCCACTAGTTGTTCCTGTACCCAGGAAACTGATACAGGGCCATTATGAGTTGAAACTAACTTGATGGCTCTTAACAACATCACTACGCATACACAGCCTCCAACCCTGTCAATTCATATTGAACTTCAAGGAAAGAAGCTCTTTACAAGAGCGAATGCATTGTTTAGAGCTACTCAGGAGACATTTCTCTACATCCTTCTGGGAGTGGGATAGAAAAATGTACAAATAAGCCCATGTGGGACACCACTTGGCCCTTAGAAAACTCCCAGGTGCACACATACGCCCACAGGTATACGCAAAGGGTCTCAGGTGCAGAGCAGCTCTTCCTAGTTATCATTCCATTCCAAATGCCCCAGCTTCTTAAGCCGCAGAGAATGAGACTTGGTGAAATACGTTAGATTGCTTTCAGTTAACTACTCTGGAAAACAACGTCTGTTCAAAGAACAAAAGGCACCAGTGGAATAGTGACCATGGGACGAGATTAAAGGTCCCTCGTTTAACAGAACCATGGCACTGTTAACTGGGAGTTGGTACTGTTTGTTCAATCTGTGCAAGTCTATCTTCCAAATTAAGAAAACAGGATTCTAATACCATAGTAAATGTTTCTAGGAGTATTCTAACTATTCCTATTCATTTTTGTCACAGGAGATATAGACAAACAAAAAGAAAAAAACAATCCAAATAGGTCAACAGTTTCCTCAAAATTCTGCCCAAAATGATCAATATATGTATCAGCCCAATCACGTCTGTATCACGAAAATGTAAACTATTATGTGATCTAACCCTATTCAGAGAAGCCGAGATGGAGACAAAGAGGACATGGAGAGATAGAGCAGCTGAGGACTCTAGACTCCTGGATAGAGAAAGACTGTGTGCTGGTGGCCAGGTGCTAGTGGCCAGGAGGGAAGCTTGCAGATGGTGCCCTTTGGTTGTTTAAATGATTATATATTCCTGAGTATTTTTGTGTACATTAAAAAAAAAAAAACACAGAGGGAATAGAAGCAACTACTATTGAATGATGATGCACAGAGGAGACTAATCATTGAGATGAAACAATGAGTGTAAAACTGATGTTCCCCCACCCCCACCCCCATGTAAACGATCAGTCACCCTCAATTCACAATAAAAACTTAGAGAAAAAAAAAAAAAAAAGAACAAATACTATCACCTCAAGGTTATATGTGTTAAAAAAACCAAACAGGGTGGGGAATAGAGGTAAATACTATTAAATGATAGTGCACGGAGGGGACTGTAATCATTGCAGTGAAATGAAGCATGATTTGTTAAATGAGAAACTGATCACCTACCCTGTAAAAAACCTTCACTAAATTCACAAACTTATTTAGCGTCACTTGCTGAAGCTATCATTTCCCCCTTTCTTTTCCTATTACATGAGAATTTCTCAGGCCACCTTTTTCCTCTCAGTGCTAACTTCTGTACTAAGCCCTGAAACCACAGGTCCTACTAGCTTCTGATGAACACACAGCTGGTCAAGATTGCTTATTCTGCCTCATAAACCTACTCTTACAAACTTTATTTCCAATGGTTCCTGTAAGATCACAACCTCAAAGTGTGTTGCTATTGCCTGTGAATCAGCTTCGAACCCCTGCAAAGTCTGCCATTTTAACTGCTTATGATTTAATAATGTGTGGTTCTGGCAATAGTCATGCTGGCATCTGTTGTCTAAAAGGCATCAATTCTTGCAAGTTTTCTGCATTAAGTTACTTATCTCTTCTCTCACTTTTATAAAGGTAAAAGAAAGCCTATGGCATTACATTTTTAAGTGTTTGTTACTGATTCCTGGAATGTTTATCTAGATTGCCTACGCACTGCCATCGTGCACTTCTGACTCAGAGCGACCCTACAGGACAGAGAAGAGCTATTCGACAGAGTTTCCAAGGCTGTCCATCTCCACAGGAGCAGACAGCCTCATCTTTCTCCACAGAATGGCAGCTTTCTGAACCTCTGACTTAGCGGTAAGCAGCCCCAATGCCTAACACACTGTACACACATCAGGCCTTCTTTCACCTAAATCAGGAAAAAAATTCTTTTTATAGCTATGGACAAACTGTGCTTATAACCCAATACTTAATATTAAAACCACAAGATTTCATGTTTTCTCATGAATGTCATGCAAACAGTATGAACTGAAAGTTATCAAGACACTTGGTCCTGGTCCTAAGTCTGTCCATTGTGTTACATTGTGAAAGCAATTTTCCTTCAGCACCTGGAAAAGGGAATTATGCTTGGTAAAGTGGAGGGTCAGCAGAAAAAGATGAAACCCCAACAAATTAGACTGACACACTGGCAGCAAGAATGGGCTCAAGCATAACAATTGTGAGGATGACACAGAACCAAGCAGTACTTCATCCTGTTGTGGATAGGGTTGGAACCCATTTGATGACAACTAACAACAAACTTTAATTACTGTTTTGAAGAAAAAAACAAAAACAGGTTAGTTGCAGCATTATTCATGTTTAAAATGGGGTTATGAAACTGAGATTCTAAGTGGCATTGTTGTCAAGTTAGGAGTGTATTTTTTGTGCAAACGCTTCTAGCTCTTCCACCCTACTCCTTCCTTCATCTCCCAGGAACCACGTCCCTTTTTTGGTAACCTTGAGAAGATCTTGTGGTTTTCATTTTGTTTTGCTTCATCACAAATAGCTGAAGAGTCTAATACAAAGTTATCTGCTGTATCAACTTATACTGTAAGGTTCATAATCAACCTGGTCTAGGATGTTTAGAAACAGAAAAACAGGTTATTAGCAAACTATCTATCTAAACAGAACAAATTTACAAATGATGAGGGAACTCAGTAAACTGGTTGAAATCTTTACCTATGGAATAACTGATGTTTTTTTTTTTTTGATGTGATAATGGTATTGTGGGCTCCGAGTGTGGCACTGTAGAATCAGAACTAGAATGTGAACCACCAGGTTGGCAGTTCAAACCCACCAGCCACTCCTCAGAAACCCTGTACATGGTCACGGTGAGTTGGAATTGACTTGACAGCACTTAATAACAACAACTACTAGGTATTGTGTCATGATTTGTAAAAATCAAATGAGTATTTACAGAAGGCCTATAGCACAATGTTGTTGTGTGCTGTTGAGTTGGATCCAGCTCACAGCTACCCTGTAGAGCTCCGAGGAGCAGCTGACTTAAGGGTTAGCAGGCCAGCACTTCCCCTCCAGTGCCACGCCAGGACACTGTCCAGCACACAGTAGGAGTTGTCTCCAGCAGTTATCTAGTCAAAAAATCTAACCAATGCAAGAATCTCATTTTTATGCACTCAAAAGGAAGCAAGACATCCCTGGGAGAATGCTCCCAAACAAACTGCAAGAGATGAAACATTTTGAATGTGTTTAGCGTTCATTTGAAATTATGTGGTCAGTCAGTCAGCAAGCACATTTCCTGAGTGCTGACACCCAAAGGATACCACTGAGGTGACAAAGGAGGGAAACAGCTGGTGTCCTAGAGCACATCATCAGGATGGGAAGAAACGAGTGGCAAGTTTAGAAAATACTGGCAGTGGGGAGAGGTTAGCAGAAGTCATCTAGGGCCCGAGACATGATAAAATGCTAGAACTGTAAGTGACAGGCACAAAGAACGTTTAAGAGTTATCAAACCAAGCTTCCCTGGCATTTAGTGAGTCCTCAAATGATGAGCGGGTAAGCAAAAGAAGATTCTAGAAATGGAAGGGAACATGTACTGTACTGTAGAAGAGTCTCTGTAAACATGCCCTAGCAATGGCCCACCAGTGTACCTCACAGACTGCAGGACAGAAGGGGCCCAGCCTTACCGAGCTCATCGGTGATGAGGTGCTTCCCTTGAATGGAGTTCCGGCATTGGTTGCTTGGCCGACTGCTGTTGCCCAAGTTAAACTGTACTTTCCAGGGAATGGGTTGATCATGATCTTGAACCTGAAGGAGATTCCGATCTCTCACTGCTCTCTCCTCCTAGACAGAGACAGAAACGACATAGTTAAAATACACTTTCTTGCATTTTCACCCATTTCTCACAGAGCCTACAGCAAGACGACTGCCAAAAGCTTGGACAGCATCGGTCCTCCTCCCATATAAACAAAGTCTGAGTCAAAGTCATAGAAAAAACTAGAAAATAAGCCTGGAAGAAAAACTCATAAATTGTGGCTATGCTTCCAGACTGCCATACTGCATGGCCCCAGCTTATGTGCACACATTACAAATGTGTCTCACATACATGAGGTCTTCATTTTAAGAATGACTTTGAATGGGGAGATGTTTGGAACTTATTCTTTCTGAGGGCAAGTCATTGAAAACATTTTGACATTTAAAATACATAAATTACAAATGTTTACAATATGAAATTTGAAAAAATTTAAAACAGAAGAAGAAGCTTCAAAGAAATATGTGACTGTCATTTCAGACCATGCCTGACACCTCTGGAGCACAAGGCCACTTCATTTGCAGGCAGTTGTTACTTCAGAGGCACAGGAAGCTGATCTGGGGACAAGGTGAAGCATGTCAAGTTGCACATTTTTCCTATGACAGAATATTGAGTACATACCCCTAGAGCATACCTTTCTTTACAAAAGAAGGCATCGGCATCCAATCATTTATCCAGATACCAATGTAGAAAAGTTTAGAAGGTCTTTTGTAGCCTCAAAGTTATGTGGGGTTGGGCTTTCCACACTGTTAGTAAAGGAACTGGGATAAAAAAGGTGCCTCAGTACCAGAAAAGTAGCCAAGTATGAAACAGCCATTTCTGAATAGCTAGAAAGCAAAACAATGATATAAAATTCCCTCCTGAAGGCTTTTTGTGTACAGTAAACATCCTATACTTCTAACAAGACTGTCAGGGTTCTGTGGTTTCTGTCATGAGACTAAGCTTAATGTGTCTCTGTTTAAATGCAAAGCTTGATGGTAAAGCATAAATATGCCAAAAAATAAAAGGAAAACAAATCTTTACAGTTACTGAAATTTCTTTAGGAAAGTAAACTAGGAAGAGCTTAAAATGCAACACTTAAAATGCAAAACTCACATATTCATTTGACCGGTAAGAGTATTTCTGAGCCCTGGGCAGTATTTCATTCTGTTGTACATGGGTGGCTGTGAATCACAACTCACAGGTGCCTAACAATAACAGCATCCGGTGGAAAACACAAATGTATAAAGATGCACACCACTGCCATCGAGTCAATTCCAACTCACTGCATGCTTACAGACAGAGGAGAACTGCTCCGTAGCGTTTCTGAGACTACAAATCTATATGAGAGCCAACAACCTCACTTTTCTCCCTCGAGTGACTGGTGGTTTCAACTGCGGACCTTGTGGTTAACTGTCATATGCTTACCACTGGGCCATCAGAGCTCCTGAACAATGAACAAGGATGCTTAATTAGACATTTGTTGATGCTGTTGTTATGTGCCGTGTAGTCAGTTCCGACTCATAGTGACCCTGTACATGGTTTCCGAAGCTGTAAATCTTTACGGGAGCAGAAAGCCTCATCTTTCTCCAGCAGAACAGCTGGTAGTTTTGAAGGGCTGACATTAAGGTTCGCAGCCCAATTCGTAATCACTACGCTACTAGAGCTCCTTTAATTACACATAGCCTTGTTTAAATGACGAAAAAATACAAAAATCCATCAACAGAGAAACAATTAAACAAATACTAGCACACCCTCACCTTAAAAAATAAGACCTAGCGCAATGCAGTAAATTACTTAAATGGTCATTCTAACCACTGTCTTGGAGTAATGATATGGCATTGCGGGATACTGCACTGGACTGCAAAGTGAGGCTGAACCGCAAGATTGCTGATTCAAAATTACCAGTCACTCCTCGGAAACCCTGTACAGGATTGCTATGAGCCGGAATCAATTCAATAACATTTAACAATAACCACTGTCGTAAGAGTCCTGATGTGGTGCAGTAGGATTAAGTACTGGACTGCAAGGTCAGTTTGAACCCCAAGGTCGGTGGTTCAAACTACCAGCCACTCCTCAAAAATCCAATTCCCACCAACTTACTGGGTTTGTTGTGGTTGTTAGGTGCCCTCGAGTTGGTACCAACTCATAGCAACCCTATGCACAGCAGAACAAAACACTTCCCGGTCCTGAGCCAACCTCATAATTGTAGCCACACTTAAGCCCATTGATGCTGCCATTTTTGCCAATCCATCTCAATGGGGGTCTTCCTCTTTCTCTCAGACCCTCCACCTTACCAAACATGATAGCCTTCTCCAGCAACTGGTCCCTCCTGACACTATGTCTGAAGAATGACAAAGCCTGGCCATTCTGGTCTCCAAGGAGCACTATGGCTGCATTTCTTCCAACACGGATCTGTTTGTTCTTTTGGCAGCCCATGGCACTTTCAATATTCTCCTCCAACACCGTAACTCAACAGCATCAATTCTTCTAC